CAAGAAGCAAATCTAGCCTTTTTTCATCAGTTTTCATTTGAAGGCCGGTGCTTTTAATTCGTTTTTGTACTAATATTTTAAGTACAGCAGAAAAAAATATCAGAAGATGATGCAATGGCTGGAAAAGCTAAGATAGGTTTTTTTGCACTTTCAATTTTATAAACTGAACTAATATCTATGCTTATCCAAGTTAAAGTCTGGATTTAATTAAGAAAGTCTATTTTTAGAGCAATACTCATTGCTGAGATCTTCTCTCTTCTCAGTCTTATCTTTTATTTTATTGGGCAGTTGACACTTCTAGCAACTTATATACACATAAATACAGGAAAATGCCTCTTTAAAGTTTATATTATTCTATTTCTTAGAGCAAATACATTCATATTCTCTCCCTCTCTCTCCCTCCCTCTCTCCCTCCCTCTCTTCCTCTCTCTCTCCCTCCCTCCCTCCCTCCCTCTCTCTCTCTCCCTCTCTCTCTCCTTCTCTCTCCCTCCCTCTCTCTCCCCCCCTCTCTCCCCCTCTCTCCCCCCCCCTCCCTCTCTCTCTCCCTCTCTCTCCCTCCCTCTCTCTCTCCCTCTCCCTCCCCCCTCCCCCCCTCTGTCTCACAACTGGTCAGATATTCCTGCCTTCAATTTTTGAGTAGCACTAGCTCTATATAATTGAATACTAATTATATGAAAGAGGAAGTCTCTGGATAATTATGGTGTCACTTTGCCTTGTCTAGGATAGCAAATGAATTTTTATGGGCAGAAATAGGGATTCCTCTATTATGCTTTGGTCAGAACTATGAAATGAATTGCTTTGCCACACTCAGAAAAGTGATTCCTTTGTGAATTGAGAAGTAAAACTTTCCTTCTTTATTTTACTTAGAAGGATTAGATATAAATAGTACATGAATATTTTAAAAGTTCCTGGTGTAAATATATATATGCAAAGGACGCACGATCTGTCCGTGGAAAACACTGGTTTATCTTCAAATACTGACATCCCAAGGATGGTCCCAATTATTTTTCCAGCTATTCTAACATGTGCAGGACACTTAGAGTCATCGGCAGGACAGTTAACCTCCCCTGCCTTTTTTGTTTTGTTTTGAGACATTTTGAGACAGAGTCTCACTCTGTAGATGTTTATATTCTGAAATCATTTTATAGACA